GTCTTGTCAACTTCACACAATGAATTGTACCATCCAATGTCAGAAACTTCGCTCATTGCAACTGAATGTCCTTAGAAACAGGATTTCCACACACACACACACACACACTCTGCCCCTTCCGATGCCTCGCGTAACTCTGGGAAGGAGTTGGGAGTGACCTTGCGAGGGCACTGGGGCCGTGCATGCTCCTACTGAAAACAGCGCGATGGTGCGCTGCTGGCTTGTGCAACTCATTCCTTGCTTGGGTGGAGCTGAGACGCTAGCCAGCTGCAGAAACAAGTAGCCATCACCTGAGCAGCAGCGATTTTCCTTGTAAGGCTCCGCACAATCTAATCGGGCCCTCTAGGAACATAACTCGAGCCCACTCCTCTAGCAAGGAGTCGAACATCTGTGGCAAAAGCCTCGGGCCTGTTTCTTCTTCCGCACGAAAGCTCGCTTTTGACAAAGCTTCTGTTGTCTGCATCTGCAAAGAAAATGTAGGTCGGCAAGGCGTGGCGATTGCACAAATGGATCACCACGTCCTTCATCATCGGCCTACTCGCTTCAGATCACCAATTCACCTACAGGAAGTGGCCAGCAGTGAGGCGGCAATGACTTTCGAATGTCGGCAAGCTCCCGTAACAGTAGGCCACCATTGCCTGAAAGCACGGGCAAGCAGACAGAGGTACTGCACTGGAAGCATGCCCACAGCAGCATGGCTTGCTACCCGGAAAGCTTGCCGAGGGCTTCTTCATGCCCTTCCCCGAACCATAGGGAGGGTGGGGACTCTTCACAACCACCAGCCCCTTTCTACCCTATGTCCTGGCTTCGAACTCTCGAGGAGCCAAGAACTTCTCAAAACAAAAACCCGAGAAGTGGAACCTGCAGACCCCGATGTGGTGTGATGCCCTGTCCAGGTATGCATGTGAATGCAGTATTCACGTATATCGGCACATACACGCACATGTGATATATATATATATATAAACATGTGTATACATCTGTCCCTCTACTTGCGTGCAAGGGGCGGACGGACAGGCAGAAACAGACATGCATACACGCGAGAGTTGGTAGGCATGCTTGCGATGCCTGCGCCAACTAGGAACCCAAAGCAATCAATACCCACAACTCCAACAAATCACTCTGGGCACACCTAAAGTCCCAAAGCAATGCATGTGCATTCGTCGTTAATGTGCCTGCTGATGTTTCATGCATTTTCTGGCATCATGATGAGACATAAACCGATGCCGTTCCTGATGGATTGGAACTGTCGTCCACTTGCTTGTGTGCTGGGCTTGGCACACATAGAGGCTTTGTGTGGGGAACCAACGGCTGTACCAGGACTCGTCACAGGCTGATTCTGAAAACAGTGGGACGGAGTTGGTTACTGGCACTTGGAAGAAAACTTTGGTTTCATGTAACCTGCGAGGCGACGCCATTGATTCCATTGACCAGATCGGCAGGTATTAACATGTACTACGTGGAAGCAGACGACATCGCCAAAGTCCGTCGGAGCAGTTTTGCTTGCAAACACACATGGCCAAGCTTCACAGAAAGCAAGCTGTCTGTCCCGGTTCGATTTCTGGTCAGGCGCGGCAGAACATGCGGCAAAAACGACAGTCCTTGCTGCTTGCTGACCACGCTGCTTTGTAGAAGTCGCTCGTTTGAAATTGGCTCGTGTAGCACCAGTGCGTCAACAACAGGCTTTGCAATTATGCGCAGGTACTCTGGGATCTCACTGCGGCATCGGGAGTCCTCTGCAAGTACGATCTGCATGTAGAAGCCCCGCTGCCGGTCAATCAGTGGAAAGTAGCCATAAGCTCCAGGTCCAGCTTGAATTGATTCCTTCAAGCAAACTGCTGAGAGTGCTGCTGAAGATCCTTCATCATGGCCAGATCCATAGCCCATGCAATCAAACCAATGACCCATGCCTCAGATCCATCAGGCTCTTCTTCAGCATATACGCAATCAACAGATTAGGATACAATATGAACAGTTAATTGACATGACCGGCACCTGACTCAACCTAGAGTGTCGCCCGATAACAGCGAAGAGACCATAGTGACCAAACCAACCGTCGCCGCATGGAGACACGGGTGGCGCAGACCAGTCCTTCTCCATTTCTGACAGAACCTCCCTTCCAAGAAACTCGTACGAGAGCAGCTTCTGCAGCATCTTCTCAAAATCTGAACCCGTCGTTGTGATGCCAAATGCAAACTGCGGATTCCTTGCAGGTGTCCAGGTGGTCCCGTTCATGCCTGTGAGCATGTGGCATCAACACAGCAAAGTGCCAAAAAATCGTGGCATCCACATGGGGATTGGACTCCGCAAGAAGAGCATCCACCCTATTGGAACATTCAGACTTTGCGGGCCTGTTATCTTCAGGGCAGCACTATAGACAAATGATCAACACTCTGCCGGCAGGGCATGCTCAGAACTATTGCGCCTAAGGGGTCGTAGAGGTACTTCTGGAAAAGCTTGTCAGGTCTAAGACCGGAAGCTGCGACCGCCATTGCTGCTGCCAGCTGAAGGTGGATCGAGATATAGGCCCAGGTTTCTCCTCCAGCCGACGCGGACTAGAATAGAAGACTCACTGCCAGAACTGCGGCTACTCCAGTCCTGGTGGGCTTGTCAACTTAGCAGTCTCATATAAACGCCTTGCGCACGAAAGAAAGTCTGCCCACGGATTGAAGCTGCATAGGAGCTTGGGATCCTTCGTATAACCTCAAGGCCATGACATGATCGTCTGACATCTCTTGCTTCCACGAAGCTAGGGCACCTGTGTTAAGGCTGGAAGCCAGACTGGAAGGTCATGAGGTCTCGCAAGGTTATTCTGCTTCTGGGATCTTCAGAATCTGTTGACCACCAAGCCAAGTACTTGTTGGCCTTGTCGTCGAAAGAGAGCGTACCTTATGACATCGAGAGAGTGTGGGTCAAAAAGTGGTCTGATGGATCAAGCAGTGCGCAGTACTGGCAGGCATCTGTCGCAACATTTTACAATCGCTTACACGAGGCTCCTTCCCTACGAAAGCTTTGCACAGCAAAATCTACAGTAGCAAAGCCAAGCAGCCGTCAGCTACCAGGCCAGCAATCGCCAATGCGGCTGGCCACTTGGAGAGACTGGCGCCTCTCAAGCGTTTGTTCATTCCTGTCGTACCTCGCAAGTTGTGTCGACATGTGTCGACAGACTTTGGCGAAGCAAGCGATACCGCAGAAACAACGAAGCAAAATGCGTCGCTGCCTTTGGTGTAGGTGTAGAGCGGCCCCTTCGCAGAGCCTTGACATCCAGCAAGCACGTGGCGGTACCACAAGCGAAAGCTCCAGTTCTCAGAACCTTGCCAACATTGAAGGAGAAGTCCTTGTCCCAGCCCAGCGATGCCCATGCATCTAGGCCGTCCTGCAGTAGCTGCCACCCACCTGCCGAAGAATGGCCCTTGACCAAGGAGACGAGAGCTGGCAGCGTCAATCCTCCTGCCACTGCCGGACTCAGGCCATAGGGCCACATAGGATCCATCCGTGATTCTGAGCGACAGTGACGCCTCCTCGCGAGAGCAGCTCAGAGCGGCTCACGCTGCCTGGTCCCGCAGCTTTTGCAGGGTCCTGCCGGTTGGTGCGGCGGGAATGCGGGCGCATCTGTGCGGATCTCTGCGCTCTTTTTGCGTCCGAGTCCTTCCCATCAAGAATTGCCAGAACTGCGGGAACAGAGACTTGGCGCAAAAGGTCACCTGATCAGTTCGCCCCTGGCAGATGATTCAACAGGCTCCCCTGTTTTAGTCAATCTAGCAGCTTTTTCCGCCATGGATGCGGATGTCGATGCCATACTTCTCAATCGTCTCTGAATGCTGAAGCGGCAGCGGATCTCCGACATCTCCATCCGGATATCTAAACAGAACATGACTGCCGTTTGCAACCTCAGCACATGATGCGTTCAAGGTTCTGCGGACTGCCTGAAGGAAAGAATTTGCATCGGGCAGCCTCAAAAGTGAAGCTCGAATCAAATTCGAATGATTGCCATGCTTTCAGGCCATCTCGCAAGCCATCCCACGCGAGCGTTCCCTCCACGACTTGCGCCTTTGGCGGCAGGAGAGGCAAAGACTCTGAGATCCTCGCTTCGTCTGACGTCAAGCCGAGTCTCCCAGGCGACGAGCACCAGCACCGGCACCGAGCTTACATGGATTCGCATTCGCATGATGCCCCTTCGAGACTGGCCGCGCTGTTTGTCCATGAAATTGTGCGTGAGATGTCGTGTGACTGCAGGGCATGCGTGGCTAACATCGCGCAAGATTTCTAGCCAGCTGCTGTTGCTCCTGGATGACTACCGGCTGCAGGAATCAACAAAGCTGCGCGGTCCCAAATGCTGACACCGTACAGCCGAGAAAGCAGCCATCATCCATTCGGGCGAAACTCGTCTCGAACACCTCGCAGAATCCAAGAGCTGCGGCAGACCAGGGCAGGTGCTCTGAGGCGCCTCCTTTGCATACGCCTCGTCGGCAGGATCCTGAACAGGCTGAGCTCTGCTCGAGGACAGAGATAATCAGGACCAGGAGTCAAGAGCATAGAGATGGCACGGGAGCAAGTCTTAGTAAGGGAGAGGACAAAGAATGACAAAGACACAGCTTGCCTCCATCAAACAAACGAGCAACCAAACAAACGAGACAGGAAGGTGGTAGAGGGAGGAAGACAGAGAGCCAGAGTTGGAGGAGAAAAGGCCGAAAGAATTTCCCGAAGCTTTGAGGATGGTAGCGGAGGTTTAGGTGATGCAGAGGGGACAAAAGCACCATCTTGGCAGCTGCGGAATTCCTCTTCATCCTCCTCGCCGTATGGATCATCATCTCCAGCCTGAGCGTATCCGTCCCTCGTCACAAGCTGAAAGACACGAAGTACAAAGCCTGCCGCTTCGCCGGCTCGACGATGCCAACACCATCAATATCTCGGCATGGACAACGGAACACTGCGACGGCCATTAGCAAAAACAACCTTTTCTGCACTGGGCTCCTAGCGTAACACCTTGCATGTAGCTGCTTCATCCTCCTCGAGCTCAGCAAAGCTCAGCATAGCTCAGCATGAGCAGGCAGCAAACGATCGAGGCTCAGAAGCCGGCCATGACCGGCAACTGGTTGAGGCCTGAGGTCACCATGTGGCTTGGTTTTACATGGCTCGAAGCTCCGCCCGCTTCGATTTACCATGTACGAAGGATCGACACCCAGTTGTGGCCTTGGCCTTCAAGGTCACAGATCCAGTTGCACCCTAGTCTCTTTCAATGTCTTCAGGCCCTTAGGGCTTCTTTATCTTCGTCCTATCCCTCGAAACCATGCAACACCCGAATCGAGAACTGCCACCCTTGCCAACTTGCCACCGTCCTCGGCATGTGCATGACCGAGAACATGCTCTAGGAACATATGCCGATGCGGAAATACAAAACTTGATAGATAGCCGTTGTCATGCGTCCAGCTGACACGATGTGGAATCTGACACCTGCAACATCCTAACTGCATGCATTCGGTGTGCAGAGAAATCTCGGACGCCGGCGAACAAGATTTCTGTGGTTGCACACGAGGTCCAGCAGCAAGTTCCTGATTACTCAACAGCTGCCGACAGATCTACGAATGCGGAGGCAGCCTGCTGATTTGACGACAAGCTAAGGACCAGACGCATCTTCGCGGGTCAAGCCATTGCCTCGAAGGTCTAGATCCTGTACTGGGCTATCTTCATGAAGGAGACCTCGAAGAGCACAAGATTGCATGTTGCAAATCCGTTGCTGAGTGTGCTTTAGCGCAGCTGAGGCCGCTTCTACGAAGTGATTCATGCAGCAAGTTGTCTGCGAAGGTGGGCTCTCTCGGGTCCAGTTCCTGCAGAAATAGCTCATGGCGCGACGTGGTTTGCCACGTGTTGCCACGTGACAATCTGCCCAGAGGTGTCGCGTGGCAGAGCTCGGAAGTGCCACGTGGCCGCACGCCAAAACGCGCCTCAACGTGGCACTCCGAGCTCCACAACGTGACGCATAGCATCACGACGTGACGCGTTTGCTGGCACCTATACTACCTCGCTTGAGGGTCCTAGCGGCTTCAGACCCAAAGACACAGCTATCCCAGCCGCAAACCCAGACAACCCTCTCCCCAAATGTCGATGAGGTTTTTCAAACTTCGGCCTACGGTGACTCGGTTGAGGGCTTGTTGGGTTGTTGGGAGCCAGTTTGGGCTGAGCATCTTGGGAACCAGTCACTCCCTGGTGCTGAGCCTCACGCCCCAAAGCCCCAAGTCCTAAGCCCCCCCAAACCAAAAGCCCATAAAAGCCCTAAGCCCGAAGCCTTCTCTGAAAGCATCAGTCTTAGACAGTATTGCGACGAGGCGTCCGAGAGCCGGCATAGTAAGGCAACACAAATCCCAAGACCCAGCGCCAAGCCCAAACCTCAACGGACCCAGCGTTATTCAAACCCCAAGAACACACAACCTAACTGGAAGCCGGATCACCCCTCAAAGAAAAAGCCAGGCAAACAGCGGAAACCACACCCAGCCCGAACGCCGGACCCCGAAAACAAACCAAATCCCGCAACACCTGTGGCTTTGCTTTGGGGTTTGCGTGGCTTCGTCGAGTTGGCGTTTTCTCTTGGGCTTCGGGTTGCCGGATTGTGCCTGTACAGTTGGGGTTTTGGCTTGGGTGCTGGGTCTTGGCATTCATGGTTTCTGAAGCTGCAAGACCTTTAGATTGACTCTCAAACACATATCCCCACAGAGAGAGACTGGTTGCAAACATCCCTGGCCAGACTGGCTCATGCCTATAAGCACTGCGCATGACACCAACGTGCTCAGCTTGTGAAAGGTTGCACAGCCCACGCCCCGCCCAAATGGCATCGTAGCAGTTAAACTTTGCAGAACTTCAGTTTCGAAGACCGTCATGGGCGAATCAGGAGAATGCAGCCTGCTGGCCAACCAGGATGCGGGGTGACAGTGGGGTTTCTTCAGTATTCCCATTCTGGATTCTAGCGACGGCTTCATGCGGCACTCCTGCCTCCGAGTCCCTCGTCGTTGTGACACTTTGTGCAGGGTTTGGAAGGTTCGTCGTGGCCATCACATGCACGATGAGGACTACTGACTACTACAACAACGGCAGCTGCGGTACTGCCACTAAGCATGGGGCAGACGACTGCTATGACCCTATGACTATTGCCGACAGTACTGCTATTGCAACTGCCAGCATCAGAAGCAAAAACGACAAAGCCAACTACCATGACCACTACAACTACTAGCGCCGACGACGAAGACAGTGACGAAGCCGGGTAAGACATGATTAGCGTAAGACATGACGCGCCTAAGGCAGCTTCCACTGCCACTACTGCATTCACCTCCGTCGCATCTATGCCTCGGCACCTACGCACTCCGACTCCTGCTGCCGCAGTTGCCACCACTACCACCCTCCCCCCATCGACCAACGGTGCATACTTCTTGAGGTTTACCTCCAGAGTCGCGTGTAGGTCCGATCGAAACCCGACGGCTCCCCAAGTAAGGTTCAACAGCTCGGGATGTTGCAAACCTCACTCCGAAGGCTAGGTAACCTGCATCAAACTCCCTCACTATCCTGCACTCGGGGCGCGTCCTCGGCGATTCTGGCGCAGGCCCGGCTGCTGCCTAAGCGCAGGTCCGGGCGCCAGTGGAAGCGCCTCAGAAGAGGCGCATTGAAAGCAAAATCTGCCGGCAAAATAGCATAGGCAGCTACACTACGACTCCGGGGCGAAGTCTAAAACCAGAACAAGCCTTTAAACAACAGGTCGGCAAAACCTCTTCAGGCACCAGGCATGCAAAGCAAGATCTTTATATACCTTTCTAGGTAAGAGGCGGAGGCGGAAATATGGGCAGATGCTGCTCCACTTTCTCAACTCGAATACTTCTCTTGCAAGCGACACAGCTCCCGCAATGCTTTAAAAGATGTATCGATTGCAAAAGTGAGGCATAGTGAGGCTTTATAGGAAAGAGAGAATTCTGCTGCTGGTCTAGTCAAGCAAGGGAGTGGGCACTTGCTGCTCTTGGCAACTACTGCGGCAAGGAAGTGCTCAAAGCACGCTTTATGCCTTCTCATGCAGCGAAAAGATCTGAAGCACGCCTCTTGCTAGCCTGCAGCATACAAGTGAAGCTCTCTATTGCATCTGAACATCTGCCAGCACTCGAAGCCGTGTCTAGGCTTGATGTAAGATTCAGTGAACTCCACGCTTGGATGCCTACTGCCTGTTATCACATTCAGCAGCTCATCGACGATGGGCATGATGGCAAAACAAACTTCAGAAACATCCACAGATCGTCGGACACCATCTCGAACGGTGGTCTGCAGCACAGAGCTGCGCACGTTGGAGCGGACAGGTCCTCATCGGTTTCCTCCTCGGCAAAGCGTGGAGCCTGCGACAGCAAGTGCCTCCCAGCCCCGAAGGCCGGGTGTTCGTACGTAGAACACCAAGCAGAAAAAACCTCAAGCTCATCACCAGGTCGGACGAAGCGCAGGTGGCCTAAGGCTCCGATCAAGGCTCTTCGCCCATTTTACCACACGAACTCAGAGACCTCTGTATGGGCCCGTTGCTGCCCTGCCCGAGCCACAGTGGCTTGGAGCTCTCTGGCCACTCATCGGGTCTGGCCTTGCAGCTCGCAGGCAGCTTGGCTGCTGGCGCTTGCATCTACTCCAACTGAATTCTGCCTGCAGCATCTTGTGTCTCAAGCCGCACATCAGCAACCTGAGAGCAACGGTCAAAGGAGGACCCCACCAAAAAAGTCTTCCCGACTGAGCTGAGCGGAGCTGAGCCAAGCTGCGAAACCTTCTGGAGCTGCAGCTCGCCGCGCGCCTGAAGAAAGCAGCTTCCAAGGACAGCAGCATGTCTGTGCGTGCCTTATTCTTTACGCACCTCGTCATCCATGGGCAGCGGCAAGTAGAGGTTCTGGCTCGGGTCTTCTGGCGGATCTCGGGTCATCCGAAGCTGCGAGCTGAGCTATGCCAACGCTTCGTGCCCTCAGCTCCGAGCCCTTGTAGGCTCTCCGGCTCGGAAAGCACAAGACTTGGATTTGCGGGGGGTGCAGTCTCTCAACCTGAGTCTGCGGCCAACGCATACTCAATGCCGGTGAAAGCAACTGAGCAGGAGCCTCAACTGGGAATGGCTCTTCCAGTGCCACGCCGGTCAAAGCCTTAGCGAGCAAAGTGCGTGGAGAGGTCACTATGCAGCTTGAACCCCAGGCCCCGGCATCAACAAAGTCCTTCGGCGCCATGCCTTCAATCTCAGCACGCGAAATGGTCGTTCCGGCCTCCGATACCCAAGGACTCACGTTTGGCATGCAAGGTTCACAAGCAGGAAGCTGCCTCACCCCTCAACTGCGAATATGTTGACCACAGTGCGAGATGCAGGAGCTCATACTGTAAGCAAACAAAGGATCGAGCGCTGACGAGTTCCACGAACCTATCGCTTCGGATGAGTGCTGCCTGCAGCAAGGCCCAGGTTAAAGATTGTGTCGGCATCGGCACGAGTCGAGTCTGAGCTTGTCTGGGTCATCCAAGCCTGTATGCCGTCGAGCCAACTGTGCTGGCGTTTTTTGAAGCGCTTGCGCGCGAACCTAGAGGTGATCCACCTGGCTCTGGAAGCAGAACGTAAAAATCAACGGCACCTTAAACATGCAACTTATGGCGGAGCTATTGACATGTACCGGCCGGGGGGACTTCGGTTCGACTCGGATGCGCTCCACCGGCAAAGGCTTCTCACGGCCTGGACAAGAAACATTTCAACACGGAGTCTTTCCCATGACCGCTATCGACAAAAGCTGCATGTATTACCTCCTGTTCAGACTGACAAAGACACTGCGAAATGGTCGCTATGCAGGCGCACTTGACAAAAGGCAAAAGAGGAGCTCTAAGCATCCAGCCACACATTGCAGCAAAAAGAGCGGGAAGAACGGCCGAGATGTTCTCGAAGCCGAACCTTTAACAAGAGTTTGCAAGATCACGTCAGCAAGCTGTGTGTAAGTAGAGCAGGCAAGGTGGTACTCAGGGCATTCCAACCGCTCAAGATTGAGGGGAGTGCTCGCGAAGTGCAGCGCTGCAGTCCAGCCCCTGCATTGTGCTACACTGCAGCACATGATGCATCTGCAGCATTGCTACGCAACCTAATGCACATGTTCGCTGGCGGAACATCAAGCAGGGACTGCATGAACACGGTATGTGCAGGCTGCCTGCAGCAGTGCTTCGCTAACGACGTTGTTCCTGCGTCCAGAGCTGCAGCTACACAGCCTTGTACACAGTGATGCGTCATTCGCAATCACTACGGAAATCGAGCTTCGGCGGACATGACGCTTGCCGACGGTCCTCAGAGAGATGGCATGCACGAAGCGCGGCATTCCTATCGATATCGAAAATGGCAAGAGAGACCGTGTTCGTCGAGGAATGCGGCCTTCAGCATGCGAAGAGAGATGTGGTCCCAAGCGAGCCTGCTGCGCTTTGACCTGGTTCGAAGCTTCAACTCACCATGGACAGCGAAAGTAGACCAACCCTGACACACAGACTATGGACTCGGTTTTTGTCGCGGCATGGAGCGGGTCTTCCCGCAGTGAAACTCCGAGCAAAATACACGCCCTCAACACAGTCGTGCTGAGGCTTCATCGTGCTTGACTAGGACTCAGAGCCAAGAGACCCCATCCAGGCCACTGAGATCGCGGCCTGCAGTTTGGACTGCGAATAACAGCTGCAACACTTGCTCAGTAGAAAATCGTACAGTGCCGTGACGCTGCACCGGTGGCCTGGCTCCTTTATGCCCACCACGGCTATGAAAGGATCACCACCTAGGTGCCGAATTCTGGCTTCTCAAGCTGTAGCAACTTTAGCAAACTTGATACTGTATGTATCAATTACTACACCCTTTCAGAAAAACATGGAAGGTCAAAAGGGGCCTGAAGTCTGTGCTGGAAAGCTGACAGGATTGTGAACAACTGCCAGTTCGGTTCAGACGTGTTGATATTCCTGCAGCGGGGCTTGGCCACTGTGCAATAAGCCGGAGGCTCTGGGTCCGGAGAAATTATGCGAAAGTCAAAGCATCTGCGCAAAAGCATTCCAGGCTTGAAAGGAGGAATCGCAGCAACATGAGGGGATATCGACAACACCTCATGAAAGGGGCACGTTTCAAGCCGATTGTGCATCATTCTGATGTGCTTTCGGCGCAACCGCGGAAATCGTGTGGGATTCAATACCAGATAGTAGACTTGCTGGACACATGGGAGACAAGTCTCGGTGCTGATGCGGACAAGCTCCGCATCAGTACAGCTCCGCACGGCCAATTAGATGATCCGAATGTGGCACTCCCGTCATCCACCGGGTGGTGGAGTTCCGGCATTGAATCACAGAATTTGAAACCACCATATGCGTTACACGAAAGGTGCTCAAACATGTCGAAACGTGGCCTGGCTTTGGCGAAAGAACTTATTTGTTCTATGTTGGCGCTTCTCATGTGCACTTACAGCTCAAGCTGAAGCTCGAGTTGTAGAGTCAAGTCAGGTTTTGCTCCGTAGGCTTCCTAGGTGCAACTGTGTCGTATTTTCTGACCTGTAGGACGACTGACACGGTTTCCACCTTCTACTCGTGACATCTTTAGCGGGCTGATAATATCCCGCTTGGAGTCTTGGATTTACAGGGTGCTTTGCGATTTCAGGCTGGCGATTGAGAAGAACGGCACGAGACGACTGAGCCCGACACGAAGCCAGTCGGTATCATCAACAGCACCACGAACCCGGTTCGCAGCCCGGACATCCGTGAAGCCTGCCTCACTGAAGTAGCCCATCACAAGGTCAGCAAGGCCACGCATGGTCTGTTGAGAGCGCCAGACTTCGACTGCCTTTGTAAAAAACATCCGGTTCGAGAAGCTGACAATGAAGGTTCCACCAGGACGGAGCACTCTTCGTACTTCTGATATCAGCCGCACAGGGTTCTGCATATATTGGATCGAGACTGCCATGAGGACAGCGTCAAACGTATCGTCCTCGAATTCTGGCAGAGTTGGATCGTTGTTGAAATTTCTTGTGAATCGGGATGCTGCCCGGGTGTTTGCAAGCAGCTCCAGCTGGTTCATACCATGCACTGTCAGCGCATAGTTGACGTCTGTGGGCAAGTGCGAGTCATGCTGAGAGCACAAGTCCAGCACCTGTCCACCGGCAGGTATGAGGACTTTGTACAGCTGTGTTAGCTGTGCCCGGAAAGCGTCGTCGACATGGTATACGCCAATGCGCGGGATCAAGTAGAACAGTTCATCTGGGGTTCCATCCTGCAGCATGAGGGAAGCCCATAACTTACATAGAAACACCCTCGCTACAGCTCAGCGTTTGAAAATCTAATCTGCAGAACAAAAAGTGACACGCTCCGGCTCCAAGTGTCCAGTTTGTATGTGTCGCGCTCCGTCAATGCCCTCACCCTACAGCGCGAGCGCCGCAGCTGTTTTGACGTCTGCCGCAAAGCGGTGAATGCCACTGCCCCTGCGATTGCCGCAGCGCCTGAAGCCGTGCTGCACTACGCCAATCCCTTCCAGACGCGTCATCTTCACAAATCTGCGACACATCTGTGCTGCAGCAGGGGCTTAAAAAGAAAAGCAAAACGGAGTGTTGTCACCGTGGCCCACCTGCTTGCTCGCTGCTTGATCCCCCATTTCGGAAAATCATCCCACAATGGGGGCAAGCTTTGTCTCAAATCCCTCTACATGCGAGTCTCGGGATTACTCCTGGGGCTATCGGATCCTGCACCGTGATTCGCCCAAAAGGAACGTTGCGTGATGCAAGCGGGGCTCCCCAGTCGCCTCGCGCACAAAGAGCTGGACGTTGATGATACCCGGGCTGAAATGGTCTTGCAGGCCGCGAGTGCCAGCTTGTCGCCTGATTTGACTCTGGTACACTACATCGCCTCTCGTTACAGCAATTGACGGCATGGTCCATGGGGGAAGTGGGCACTTCGCGGTGCCCGGAACATCACATGCCGATTGCAAGCTAGGGTGGTCCGAGACACTCTTGTGCGAGGAGATCTGCCTAGCAAAGCAAGCTCCATGGCGACAAAGGCACAAAGGCAGCAGACCGTCGATATTGAGCCAACTTGCCTGCCTACAAATATAGGAGCTAGAATGAGAGAGATGTTGCTTGCAAACATAGGAGCTAGAATGAGAGAGATGTTGCTTGCATTTCAATATGCATACGTGCTCAAATTAGGCTGCAGCTGTTTCTGCACGCTTGTCCGAGAAGTTCAGATTGATGAGAAGGGGAGTCCGACCTTTGCCAAGCTCCGCAGCGCAGTTGCAGCACCTACACCACATTCTTGCGCGACCTTTCGGTGGGAATGCTGAGGGCCTGTCTCAGAATCCGAAGGACGTCACAGAAAGCATCGACGTCGGCTTCAGCTTGAAGGCTTGCCTTCAGCCTTAGAGCTTTAAGACCGAAGCGCTCGCAATTTCGGAATGTGCCAGTACATCAGCACCCGATCCGGACGAGCTGAGAACCATGCAAAGCCTCTCCACTTCCACCGCCATCCGTCAGCTCGGTTGCTACACCTTTCTCGGTGGAATGTACTACCCCGGGTACGCGACCACAGCAACGCTCCTCTCAGAACTGCCTTCCAAGCATTGCATCAAGAGGAGGCAGGTCAGCTCTGGCCTGGCAGCCCCCATCCGTCATGCGGCCACCCCGCGATGCAGAAACATGCCGAGTAAGGCGACTCTCTCATGTTTGGTCCACCAAGCGCCAGGTCATTGAACTGCTCCAGGTGGGGGAGGGCCTTAAAACTGCGCAGCCGCAGGCAGCGTGCCCAGGATGCTGCTAGGCTTGTGCTGGCTGGGATCGATCTATGACCCAAGACGGGCTTGCAGTGTTTGTTACTGAGCCATCTGATACCTTGACCGTCTTTGACCGCTTTGGGCGAGCTTTGGTGCAAGTAACTGTTAGCGATTCGGGACCCAAACAGTCGCGGCCGGTGGCACCAGGTCTCGGAGAGTTGGCTTGGGAAATCACCACGGATTCGAAATTTGGTCTTCACAGTCACAAATTGTCGCGGGTTTAGAAGTTTAGAAGTGTGGTCAGTTGCAGAAGTTTCTTGATTCTGATGCATCTGAGCACGTGGTCAGGAGCTCTATGATGAATATGATGAGCCGGTGACCGACAGCAGACCGTGAAGCGCTTGCCAATGGATCCTCCAAGCAAGGAACATGCAGGCATCGCGCAGGCGGTGCAGACTGCTGTGCTTGGTGTCCTCCTTCGCTGCAGTCTGTCCTCAAACAACCACCGAGGCCTCAACAGCCCAGGCTCAAGTCCAAGCTCCTCATGCTCGCTGAGAAGTCTCGGCCCGCTGCGCGCTGCCAATCGAAGTCCACTCGGGCGGCAACTGGGTGTCCTTTAGGACAGCCTAGCAGAATGGGTTTTTGTGCTTTAGACCACAAAAACGGTTGTCTGCTAAGCATCTTGCCGAAGCGAAACCCAAGACTTTCAGGCTGGCCAAGGACGTGCAAACCGTTAACACCTCCGCACGCTGTGCGTATCGGGCACGAATGCACGAATCACAGTAGAACTCATAGCACGATTCAATCGTGCGCCCGAAGGAGCTCCATCGACCGCAGTCCATACCCAAGAGGTAGTGCAATGGAGACCTGACATCAAGGTCAGAGTCCCAGGGACTAGACTGACAGTCTTGTAAGCTAACTACTTGTGGCTGCACCTGGCGCAACATCTGACCAGCGCTGTGTAGCATGCCAAGGCTCGCCGGAATCAGATCAGGATTTGCACCTGCGGAAAACTGCATCAGCGACAAAGAAACGCCCGCCGCTGCCTATTGGCCTTGGCAAGCTTCTTTCGGGTACTCCACCTTTGGCTTTGCGCTTGGGCCCAAAGTAAACCTGGCAAAGACCGGTGGTGACCGGTGAGTGATTCCCGCTGGCTGGTCTTATGCAGCACCGAAGACGTACATGCCCCAGCGCTCTGGTTAGATTCATGCAGCCTTTGCCTAACATACGCGAAGAATATGCCGGCAACATCAACACGCCAAAAACTTAAGTTGCATGCCTGTACGCAGTAGTGAAGAACAGATTCTTCAAACCGGCAATGTCTGATGTTTCAAGTGAACTGTTTGCGGATTGATCTGGTTTTGTCATGTTCCGGCATCCATTGCAGAGGTTTTCAGAGGAAGCAACCTGTTCATCACTGGAAGCTCTGGCTTTGTCCTTTAATGATGTTCTTGGGTGGGTTTCGTCTCGGCACCAGGGCCGCCCGAAACTTTACGTGACCCAGCCCGACTGGTGCGTCAGCAAGACATCCGCAGCTGCTCAAGCCTATGCGTTCCCTTTTCATGTTTGCAGCTGTTGGCAGTCCCAATCTGGATCCCCGGCCCAAGGCTGTTGGTGGCCCTTGCATCTTTGCTCCTGTCTGTGTCGCCCCCTGGCTCGAGCCCTGCAGCTTCTCCTCCGGGAGTGGATCCCGACCGCTGATTGAGACAAAGTAGCTAGCGGTGCGGCAGAAGGCGACAAACGAGCCGAAGTCCGCAAGTTCGGCTAGACCCACATGCTAGGGGTGGACAAAGGTAGGAACAACAGCGATGGGAGCAAGCCCCGACCACACACGAGAGGGTGTAAAAGGGCGAGACGTTTGCTTGGCCTGAATGGCCAGCACCTCTGGGTCTCGTGTCGTCTATGCTGCCCTGCCTGTGACTGTATCACTTGCAGGGACAGGCAACACTTTTCTAGAGTTTCCGAGTATGGTTGAAGGAGTGCTCTATTCGAGGCTTGCTGCTGACAACTAGCAGCCAGGAGGGGCATCACAAACCAAAGAACCCTGGGTTCTGTAGTCTGACATTCTCCCCTGTTCGGCCTGTCCAGCTCCGCCTTGCTGGCGGACAGCAGCCACATGTACACGGCCATCTGCACACATTGCAGAATAAAGCGACCAACTGTGTGCTGTGTCAGAGCGAAGAGCAAAGCAACTTCACAAAACAGACGAACCAACCTGTGCTCGTGGCCATCCGCTGCTGCGCTCTGGAGGGAAGGCCCGGACCTTAGACAGATTGTGCCCTGCAGCTTTACCAAGACACCCTCTGCACCATGCATAACATGGCATGCTCCGTCGGCCTTGTTCTCTTTTGCATCGCGGAGAGATGCCTTGCACTTGTGCAACCCCCCATCAAGACAGTGTCGAAGCCCGATGCATCCATCCTTCCAAAGGCTCCCGCATATTCCAAATTGGGGGTGCGGGTACACGCGAAGCTCTGCAGAGAAGGATGGCTCGCCAGGCCAACCCCGAGCTGTTGCAACATCTGCCAGGATGGTGAGAATCTGCTGCAAAGAGTGAGGATAGGACTCTCCCGAAACAAACCTGCTGACGCTCCGGAGTGTCGTGGCAATGCCCAAGCGGGAGCCTTGCGCTGGCCAGAACGCATAAGAGACTGTTTGGACTCTATAGGGGACTCTCAGGCATTTCCGACATTTCCAGGTTCATAGCCCGCTTCATTGTCGGAGTTGAGTCTTTGCTGAAGGCTTGTACGCTGGGCGCCCTGCGCCACTTGGACGAGCGTGTGATTTTCAATGACTGCACGAGCAAGCAGAGCAGATCCCTGGTCACGAGTCAGAAATAGCGTGCGCAGAGCCAAGAGACTCAAGAGCAACACCACTCTTGGCACCTCTTGTGTGACAGGAAGGCCCACACCTGACGGTCAGTCTCGGAGACTTCCGATTCGGGCTTGTGGCCAACTTGTGGCGCAGTCTTGGGGTTCTCGCAGTTCAGCTTGGTCAAGACTTTCGTTTCCTGCCATCTTGAGCTTTAGCCTTTAGCCCGCTGTCTCAGCCAAAGGGTGCCTTGATGTGACGCGTCAGCTTTCGAATGCCATCGCGAGACATGAAATTCCAAGAGATGTTGAGATCGGTAACCTCTGCAATGGAATCTTTCATGTGTCCAGCCTACATGTTCGGCAGGCATGTAGTTACTTTCGCAGTTAGCTGGGCCGAACACGCAGTCGTAGCGGCGCAGCCACTCCTTCTCACCAGAAGCAGCTCTACGTAAGCTTCGAGCAAGCACCGAACGACACGGCCTCCAGGAACACGAAGTCATCATCGTCCATGCCTCGCTTCGACAGATCCACCATAGTCCTCGCCAGGATGTGCGGAGCGAGAAAACATTGCGGGAAGCTCACTGCATCTCACTGCTTTCTAACCAGGGCACAGTTGGCCGGTTTTGAAGTGGGAGAAGTTGATCCCCGGCCTCTCAGTGTTACTGCGAGCCCACGTTGAGTCTTGCACGACGAGTGGCCGGCTTCATCTTGGTCGGCCCCATCGTATTCACCTGCCAGACGAGAGTGCCTTTCTTCATGTCACAAAAGAGAAGAAGCAAGACTTCAAGAGAAGCATCGGCATGATCAGCCGTCTACTAGCAGTGGCGATGCAGAAACTCGCCGATGTGGCCGTCTGTAGCAGGGTCTGCGCGTTGCCAAGCAAGCTCTGCGCGAGAGCCTGTGCACATAATGTGGGTCCAAACGGAACTCCCAAAGCGACGGAGCTTGAAATGGGCCTTGGCGCCGTCCTTTTCCACGTGGTTTAACCTGCGAGGGCGCGTGCAAGGGAAGGATGTCTCACATCAAAAAGTGCCTCGCCTGAAGTTGAAGCTTATCAATGAAGTATTGAGGCGCAAGAAATGCGCCAAGAATATGGCACCAACCACTTCGATGCCATACCTGACAACCAGAGTTGTCCCCGGTTCCAAGTCAGCACGAATCTAGCCGGCGCGACATTCCTCTGTTGGCAAACTCCACAGCAGCCTCCTTTGAGTCTTCTGGCCATGGCCTGACTCCGACACAGGCCGTGGCCAGAAGCACCGGCCATGGCGTGGCGTGGCTACTTCCTCTCCAGTGGCTGAAGCTGCTTGAAAATCGCGCCAAGGCCGCTGCATTCCAACATGGCTTGCACGTGGTGACCTGAAACGGCTTATTTTCTTTGCTCTCCGGACTCCAATTTGCTGGCTGAAGAAGCTGAGCATTCTGCAGATCCAAGACCTGTATGGAATTCATGCGCAGTGCCCGCAGCGGAATGCCGTTGCCTCGATGCCGAGACAGTGCCTCTTAGCAGAAGCAGCGTCCGCGAGACCCCAAGCAGAGGCAGAGGCAGAATTCCAGATTCAGGTACTTCTTCTTCATTGCCTGCACCGCTGCACAACTACATCAGAAGTCCACACGACCCTGCTCCGGCCTTGATGAGTTTCCAGCCAAACGCGGCATTTAGTCGGTTGCCCCGCAAGTCAAGATGGGTAATGTTATCGACCTTTGCAGGAACAGTCCGAACGAGGAGCACCATAGGGAGTTGAGTCGCATGGCCATTCTGGAGCTCATTATCTTGATGCTCCTTTCCACTGTAGCCTTGCTATCCTGATCATGACGTAGAACAGTTGAACAGTGTATCCACCTTTATTACGCTGCAGCGTCGTACACATTCCCAGAACGGAATCCAACACGCACGCTCACACCACGCTCACAAATGTTGAAAAGGCATCCGATGTACACTTAGCAGAACGACATAGAGGCATATTGTTCTTCATATCTGTTTCTGCCTCTCTTCATCTCCCTGCTTTCGTCTCCTCCACTCCTCGATTTGCGCGAGCTTTAACATGGCCTCTGTGTCGTATGATTTTTCGGCTTGAGCCCACACCGGAGCCTGACTGCCCAAAGTTACGGCGTGTTTGCTCGCATTTGGCCCTTGAGGAGCTGCCACGTTTCATTCGCCGAGTTCGTTGAATTCCTGTGGGTCTGTTCTTCCCCCTCTCCTATCCGACCAACGACGCGCCATGGACCATATTGCCCTGCCGCAGCCTGCACTTCACGAGTTGGGCCACTGGTCGCTCGTGCCGAATCAGCGCCAAGCCCGAGCAAGTTCCCAAGTTTCTGGCTGTATGCATGAGCATGTGCGGATCTTCACTCAAATCGGCTTCAAGAACTGTTTGCAACCCAAGTCTGAGATGCGAGCCGAAAGAACAAGAGATTCAATCGCGTGCTCACCTGACTGTCAGACGGGGTCTGCAGACCGGGAATGAGACACGTGCCAAGAGGCCATCGGGATGAGACGAAGTGAACTACGATGACTGCCCCGCAAGAGGGCAGGGACTCAGCGTGTCAACATACGTCAATCATGTCCATTGCGTCTAACGAATATACTTGTCTCTCTGCTAGCCTCCCAACATATCTCCTCGGCAGAAGGATAACAATGACAGTTCAACATAGAAGCCAGAGGAAGGTAGATCAATCCGGATCCTGTGCCGTTGGCTCACGGTCAGGAAAGCTGGAAGGACGCACATGCGCTCTACGAATGGATGGCAGCAGTTACTTCTGCAGCCGCTCACCGCAAAGCATTCAAGGCTTCCAGTCCTAGCTGAAGTACCACTGATCTTCCGTCGCAGGCAAGGTGCTCAATCCCATACCTGCAAACTCAGGGAGGAACAGCTACGACGATGTGCCACAAGCTCAGCGCCCATCCTTCTCGACCTGGTCCCGGCTTGTGGTTACCTGAAAGGCACTCTCAGCAACCATCCAGGCAGGTAACGGACATATCGCAATTTCCAACCTCTCAGGTCAATTTTCTCAAATTGCATTGGCCTTCGCGGGCGAACATGGACAGATTAGTTGATGGGGAGACCAAGACCGACATCGGCTCCCAGCGTGAAACCGAAGGACAGGTTCAGTCCTGAAGACCTTCGAGAGGGATCACAAAGCCCAGCAAGACTTAATATCTTAAAAGTTGATCTCCGCAACTCAGCTGTCGGCATCTCGGCTGGATGCGAGGCAGCAGTGGATGCGCCTCCCGTTTCGCATGAATCGTGCATCGCAGCACAATTTCTGCGCGGGCTGGGATTTTCGACATCCTTTTTCTCGACAGCCCAGCGGATCTCGAGATCGTCCAAGACGTTGGTCTTCTGCCCGTCGGCAGACGTCTGTGCTTCCGGCCATGGGCGTGAACTCGGCGATGCCCATAGCTCCTGTCTTCAGGGCCTGGAGATGTTTGGATGTCATCAGACATGCAGGCCCGATGCAGGCACTGTATGTATCAGTGCCTCACCTGGCCCCGCCATCGACGACACTACTCACCCTGGTCGTCAAACAGAGCTCACGGACTCGCCTTCTCCGGAACGGCTCGGCTCCTAAACGCTCCACTACCGTATCCTGCCCTTCTAGTCCAACCTCCGTGTCATGTAGGTTTTCGGCTGTGTCACTCAACATACCTGTCGAAGCCGATTCAGAGAGGAGTTGATCTAGCTACAAGGCTGGTTGGCAATAGATCAGGAGGGAAAGGACGGCGAGAAATGATACTTCTGCCAGTACTCGGATCTTCGGAAGCTTCGTCAGTCGGCTTGCTTTCACAAGCTCCTGTGCCAAGTTATGCGCCCTCTGCAGTTATGGCAAGCTGCCTGCCAGGAACTTGGACAACCTCTCGTAGATGGCTTTGGGAGGGAACACGTGAAGTTAAGTGAAGCGCAAGCGAAGCCTTTGCACCTAAGATACCTCCGCTAGCTTTTCCCCTTGTTGGTCTTGCGGCCGTTGAGCCGCCGAAGTTGAAATATCTACGATGTACCTAGGCTTCAGGAAGCTTTGGGAGGAAGCATATTGTTGAAGCCTCTCGCACCGACACTGGTGTGACCATCTTACAATACTTGCGATCCGTTGACTCTTGAGCATTTATTCTGGGATGCAACCGATGCTGTCTCTCTGACCAAACGCCGTAAGACTTACAAGGAAAGTCATGCATCGCATTTATTGTCTTTACAAAGAACCTGAACGTGATGCTCACTGGATGCGCAAGGTGCGCCACCCAGCCTCGATAAGAGGACTTGTCTGACATAAAGCCTCGATGTTGCAAACTCGCAGATGCACTGCTCAAGAAACAGGAACTGAGGATCTCGCCGGAGTCTTGAAGCTCGTTCCTGCCCCTGATCCCATACAGGCACTGTTCACATGACAGCTTCACGATTCAATTGAAAACCTGAAGCAAAAACTGGGGGTGTGCTGCTGAGAATTGATCCCTCGCCTCCGTCGTTGGGATGGCCTCGAGCAACACTGCGCTGAAGCTCACACTAAAGTCTGAGGTGGCAATCGCAGGTTTCAAGGCAAGCGCATGAACTCGGCGTCATCCTGGAGCGTTTTGCTGTCGACTAAATGGACTGTGTTCACATTCACTGTTTGCAGCGCACTCAGATCAGCGAGTCTATCCTCTGCCTGATTCATGGCAGGCAGAGTATTGCAGTGCGAGCTACCTCCTGCCGCTGTTGCAGCTGGTTCTACTGCTCATTGAGGAGATCGGGTCTTCATACGGTTGCATCACCACTGGTCTTCGGCGTTTCCTGTTTCATGGAACATACGGACAACATGCCATGGACACGTTGCAAGACTGTAGATTCTGGGCAGGATGGACCACATGCAATCTGTAAATGAGAACACTGCCAATGTAAGACAATCGGAATGAGAACACCGTGCACAAGTGGGTCTGCTCCGACCATTTTTTAACGTGCGGGCGGGTGGGCTGAAACGAGAAACCATCTAGTCCCAGCAGCTGCCGAGCTTCTTTGGCTCGCAGCTACACTGGAAGCAACCGCAGGATTCCGCTGACGGCAAGAAATCCGCCGCATACCTGGATCACTGAAGAGCCATGTCAATGTCTAAATACAGCATCATGATGACTACAACTGAAGAAACATGAAGTCACTAAAGCCCGTCTCTTTTCGGCTACAAAGGGGCCCCCTGCGAGCATAGCGTCAGCGGTCGAGCGCAACAGTCACATGTCGATTTGACCTGCCGTTGCACTAGTAAAACACCCCTCGAATGTTGCTGTTCAGCGTTCGACCGGGGTACAAAGGCCGCTCAGATCAGCGACGAAGTCATCTGGCCATTGAACCATTGCTGCTGCCTCCTTCTCTTGTTGAGCCTTTCGGAGGCGCTGCTGCTTTCGCGCACTCACAAACTCCTCGTTGAAGCGCACAATCCAGGACTTACGGCTGTGGTACAGAGCCGCTGCCCGGAATGCTTCATGAGTCGCCTTCGTCAGGCTGTCGGCCAGATTCATGTCACTAGGCACCCAAGTGAGATAACACCGGCCATCATCCCTCAAGCCCTTCTGCACCGCAGTGGCCTCGATACCTGTTCTGGCGTTGTTCATACCCAGGAGAGGGGAATCAGAGGCGGTGATAGCATCGTACAGTCCACGGGAGTCCGTGATCAGGAGGGACTCCATGCAGGATGCCAGCTTGGCTGCATTTGACCGCGTCAGCTCTTTGCCGTTCAGCAGGGCCCAAAATAGACGGCACTTCCAGCCCTTATCTTCGGCTTCGAAGATGGCCTGGGACTCTGTTCCGTTCGTGCCCTTCGCCGCTCGGTCGAGTTTCCAGGAGCGCCAGTCCAACACGCTCACCTTGGCCTCTTGTCCGTTGAGGATCTCCGGCCCGGCAAAGCCAGTGAGGTAGCCTCCTGTAGATCCGCCGTCAGGGCGGTTGTTGTTCCCGGCGTCCCCGAAGTGCAAGGCCACCAGCTCGTCCCACGAGATCTTCTTCTCGCGGCCGTAGTTGAAGGAGTGAAAGACCATGTCCTCCTTGGCCGTCTTCTTCAGCTCCCTCATCATCGAGTTGGCCTCCCTCAGGTGGGCCACCGTTGCTTTGTTCACGGTCGAAGCGGAAATGCCGACACGAGCGCAATATTGGAAGGCTGTTTGGACAGCTCTCCATTGAGCCTTCATAGTGAGGCCACGGAATTGCGACACCTCCTTGGGAGTTAGGGGATCCGAGTCCCCCCTGCTCCTGTCCCCTTCGATCACAATCGGGGCGAGAGAGTTGCAATAAGACTCTTGGGTGACCCTCACTTCGAAGTTCTTGAGCTGTCGCACTTCCAACCCTGCAAACGTGAAATGCCCGGCTTTCCAGGGGCTCCAGGCATACATCCTTTTAATGCGCTCACGGACCTCGAGCCATTCCGGGCACTGGTGATTTCCACTGATCAAAAAGTCGTCTACATGCGTTCCGACCCGGCCTATCACCTGGCCTTGCTTGCCACGAAAGACCCAGATACATCGGTCTATGTCGTGGGGCCTTCCGCCGAGTGCCCGCATTTTGGCATCGACGTCTAGCCAGAAGATCCGCGGGGCATTCGTGAGGCCATAGACCGCGCCAACCACTTCCATGAGCGATCCGGGCGTCAGTCCCAAAGCCATTGCTAGCTCTGGAACGCCTCTTGTGAACAGCGGATCCGTTCCAATGCCCTTGTCGGCCTGCAGGAAGGCACTCTTAGCGTCTGCACACTCGACCGTGTGCTGGTCCAGCGCAGCTGCTTGAAGTAGCATACACCTGCCCAGACGGGACAGAGTGGGGCTCGCAGTCATCAACTGCTGTTGCCCAGTCCTGCTGTCTCGGCGGGCCAAGTCTGGATGCTTATACCCAATAAGGACGATTCGGGCCTTTGCCTTCCGCTTTCCGTCAGCACTTGAAACCTCGTTCTTGGTGTTCGTCGGTGGGCTGCCGTCAGGGACCGGCTTCCAAGTCAAGATCCACCTCATTGGGATCAGCCGGTCTCGGACTTGATCCTCTGTCAAGCCCTCCGAAGCTGCCTTTATCGCCATGGAGCGCAGGACCTCCGAGATCTCGCGGGCCATCGCCTCGTCCATCCGGGCCTTGTCCTCGTGGTCGAGGCTGCGGTAGTTCACCTCCTTGGCCGCCGTGTTTGAGGCGAGCTTGGCCTTGGAGTAGGTCGCGCTGCTGGCCACGAAGAGGTTGAGGTCGTCCACGTCGTACTCGATGACCATGGCCTCCTCCTTGTGGTCACACGCCTTCCGCACCGCCCGGATCAGGTCCTTCTCCTCCTAATGCATCCGCCTCAGCTCCAGGCGAAGCTTGTTCAACGACACCCCCTGGCTCGTCTCCTGCTCTATCTGCTCGATCCTCCTTTGCACCAGGGCAATGGTCTCGGGATCCAGGCTGGTCACCCTGTCGGCTTCCTGAAGATCATATCTAGCAGGTTCTGACCCCCGTGAAGAAGGTGAAGTCGCGGAAGCAGCTCGTTCTGGTCCGGCTGCTTGCTCTATCGCCATAACCAGCCCCAGTGAAGAAGGTGAAGTCGCGGAAGCAGCTCGTTCTGGTCCGGCTTCTCCGCTGCCTCTCGCTTCTCCTCGTCCTCGGGGTGTTGTTGGCGGCGTTGCGTCCTTAGGCTTCTTTCTTGTAGTCGGTGCCGGCGGTGTTTCGAACTCCTTGCGCTTGGGGCTCAGCACGTCGAAGTCCTCCTTGATCTCGATCTGCGTCGTGCCCTTCCATCGCTTCAGCAGCTCCCGCTCGGGGTCCGCCCGGGCGCCAAACCATTTGTCTATGAAGCTGCCCGTGCCACCCTTGGGGTCCGTCCACATTGTCACCCGCTTGCCGGTGAATTGGTCCGCGGGCACCGGGCAGTTGGCAATCCCGGTGGGCACAAACATCTTTGATCGCCACTGGTTGTGGTGCCTGATCAGCATCCGCCTCTCCGTGTCGAGCTCCCACGTGTCCGGCACCTCAGCGCTAGCGATTTCCCGGGACATCCGTGTCAATCGCGGCAGGCCGTCTCGTACTCGAGCTTGGTTCGCTGAAGCCATCTGCTGCCATCTCGCCACCTGCTCACGCACAGTTGCCCGAACGGCTTCGCCCGAGCCTGCTGCCGGTGATCGGCTTAATCGGCTTCTGGTGGGGGAGCGACTCTGTGCTCGGGCCGCTTCGGCTGATAGGCCGGCCCACTCATCTGCTGCATTCTCCAAGTTGCCCTCCCACTCGTCCATAGGTTGTGCTCGGGCAGCGGCAGGATCTGGTTCTGGGGCTCCTTCGGGCCACGGCTGCTCCGGGAGGCCGTCGCCATCATCCCGGTCCTTCTCTCTCGTTACGTCCACAAACCTCCGAAGCCCTTTCATCACGTCCTCCACCGGCCGGGTCACCACGTCGCCCTTGGCCAGCAGCTCAGTGATCACCTCCTGCTCGCTCGCCATCCTTAGCTGCTCCGGGGCGCACCGCCAAAGGGAGGTGCCCATCAGCACCCAAATCACAGACACACGGCCGTCAGGTAGCACCGGTGGTTCCAGCAAGGCCACCCGACCAGGCCCAATGAAGCGCACCTCCGGGTTCACGGTGGTAGGTCCTCTGGCCCGTCTTGCCTTCAAGGTGGCGTTTCTCCAAACACAGACCCAGTCGCCCACGCGATAGTCCACCAAGGGTCGCGGGGCCGCGTTGTGCAATCTCGTAAAAGTCTCGCGGGCCAGCTCCTGTCTGTGTATCTCCGCCGCCTTGTCTCGCTTCCGCTGCATCTCCCAGAACCCATCAGGCCGTTCACCTTGGTGCATGTTCAGCTTCAGGGGATCCGACTCCTGACGCCACGCCGCAGGATCAGATCCGAAGGCCCCATTGCATCGGTGTGAAGCCCTTCACGGACTCAGTCTGGTTGTGGGCTGCAGCGGCTAGGTGTCCACATAGCCTGGTGTCCAGCTCAGTGTTGTCATTCCGCAGCCGGCGCATCGTCTTCTTAATGGCCTTCACCGCCGTCTCGACCGCGCCGTTCTGCCGCATCCGATCCACCCACAGAAGTTCGCAAAGTCGCCCTTGGCAAGCGAAGACTGGGGATCGGTCAGGATCCACTCTGGCTTGGGCCGGTGCTGTAGCCACGATCCGGCGAAAACCTCCACCAGCTTCTGTCCACTGTCCGTGCCCGACTCGTTCATAGGGCCTTGCCAGACCATCTCCACCATAGCAAGGCGCATCGCCAGGCATATCGCCAGGAGGTACCTGGCCTTTCTCTTCTGTGCCGGGAAGGGCAGCTCGAAAAGGTCCATTCCAACCATCTGCCACGGTGCTGGTTTTGTTCCCAGGCTGTGGGGCACCTGCATGGTTCCACCTCGTTTTGTTTCCAGGCAAGCCTGGCAAGGCAAGTTCAGGGCCTCATTGACGACCCACCGGGGTAGGCCACGATCCCGGCAAATCCTTGCCAGGGCCCGGTTCGAAGGCCGCCTTGTGAAGTCTCGTCAGCATAGCTCGCGCTTGCTGCCGCATTGGTTCTGTGGCCTCTGTGTCCTCGGGCACGGTCACGTTGATCTGGCTGCTGTCCTCGATCTGCTGGGCTGCGGCGACGGTGTTCCGGACCTCGTTGGCGTCACGCTCCTTGATGTACTGGGCCTTCCACGCCTTCGCGATGTCCTCCACCATGTCCTTGGGGTAGCCCGCGGTCTCGGTCATGTGCTCGTGCCCCCTGGTTCTCGGCCTCCGCCCTGTGGAGCTTCTCGTGGAAGACCGGGTCATTGTGCAGCACCGTCCGGGAACCGAGTTGTGTCCAGTAGTGCCTTTGTCCCCAGGTCGTCCAGAGCTCCTTCAGCGCCCGCACCCCGGAGGATCTCCAGGTGCCGCGCGCCGTGGTCGGCATCTCCAAGTAAATCTGGTTCGTGCCGTTCGCGTTCTCGAGGCTCGCCGTCGCAATCTCCACGATGTGGGCCAGTTGCTTCCTCACTTTCGTCTGCTTTCTCCTGAGCTTTGTTGGGTCGCCCTGGGTGTCCGGGGCCAGAGGAAGCACACAGGAAGGCGAGAACCAGAGCTTCCACGGGCCTTGTTGCCACACCTCTCGCAGAAGCTTGTTCACATGGTCCCTTTTGTTCAGGTCGTAGCCGGCCGCAAGCGACTTATTGTGCACAATGAGGCCGCGATGTGCACACGCGCTCGCCAAAAATCCATCAGTCCTGCAGGCAACCTCCCAGGCATGACGAGGTTGCACGGCATCCAAAATGGCTGCCAGATTGAATTCGGTGGCTGCGGTTTGCAGCTCCTTTGCTTTCTCGGAGGGCAGGGGCTCATCATGTTCTGTCCAGGTCTGGTCCGGCTCGTCGTGCACCGGGTCCGGCTCCTCACTTGCCCCTGCTGTGTCGGCCTCCTGGGCCGCACCCCCGTCTACTTCTCCGCCTGCTCGTCCACCTTCTCGAAGCCCTCGTCGTCCACGAGGTCGACCGACTCCTCGCCCGTCTTGTTCTTCTGGCCCTTCTTGGGCGCAGTCTCGACCACCGCCTTCGCCTTGGACTTCGGCTTGCCGTAGAGGAGGCGCTTCTCCTTCGCCACGATATCGATCATCGCCTTCACGTCCTTCGCCTCCAGGCTGGCAGAGTCCCGGCCATCGGCCCGCAGGCGTTCCAGGGCCTCCGTCACATTCATCGGCAGGTTGGTCCGAGTCGTCTCGCACGGGGCGTCGCGAGCGGGGATGTACGACGCCCGATACCCGCACACCGTGCATTCCGAACACTTGCCATAGCGGTTTGCCCCGTTGCCGTAGTAGTGGCGTCCGAGGCATGGCCATTGGTCGGCTTTCCCACGTCGGTCTCGCTCGTCCGGTCCTTGCTTGCGGGTGGTGTCGTACTCGGTTTTCATCCCACTGCCACGGCTTCGGCCCTTGCCCTTCGCCTTGGTGGTGTTCTTCATCTCCTCGGCGATCGCTTCTCGCACGGCTGCTTGGATAGCGTTCTTCATCTCCGCCGGCAGCTGCTCCGAGCCGGAAGCCATGATCACGCGGTCGTGGGGAATCGTGGTATCTCGGGGTGGTGCTCGAGGCACCCATGTTCTGAGAGCCCGTCAGCAAGTAGCGGGTCTCGTTCTCGCCCAGCCCAAGAAAGCTTGACTGCGGCAAACTGCTCTCCATGTCAAAATCGCAAAAACTCGCAAAGGCATGCTCACACTGTGCTTCGGCACTCTCTCCAGACAGTATCTCTAACATGTAACCACTATGCTTCGCAGGCGGTAAGGAAAACGACACGTGTCTGGGATGTGTCCTTGGGCTGTGGCTGGCCTTCGGAACCCATTTGTAGTTCAACTGCTGGTTGCTCCGGGCTGTTGCTGTCCTCGGGGTCCACGCGCTTGTCATAGTTGCTGTCGTTGGGGTCCCCGAGGTCCTTGTTGGTGTTGGCTGTCGGCGGGGGCTCTCGGGACTTGAGCTCCTTTGCGGGTGCTGCCCTGCGGGTTGTCGATCTGGCTGTGCTGTCTTGCGCTGCGGGAAGGTATGCTTCACAACATCCATGACCAAATGCCCTTTAGGTGTTCTACGTAGCTCCACCATGCGGCTCGAAACGATACACCTGCCCGTGGCACACCCAAGAAAGGCATTCATCTGCTTCAACTCTCGCATCCCTATAAGTACAGGCACACCTTCACTAGGCAGGGCAAAGACGCTGAAGGACACGCCGTCACATTCCAAGCAGACCCTGTAAAGAGCCCTTCCCCACTTCCCGCTGCCGTACCGAAAGTATGGCCGATCGCTCTCGAACACGGTGATCTTCGTCTCTTGCCTAGCTGCGGCCACCGCTGCACAAAGCCGCTCGACAGCATCCTGGCCTCCAGCCGTGGCCGTCGCACCGGTATCCACTAGGCCCTCAGAAGCCGCCATGGTCGAAGAAGAGCGCTGCGCATCGGCCTCGGAAACCGTGGTGAAGAACTCCAGGCCGCCGTCCATGTGATAGGCACTTGCCCAGGTTGGCGGCCCTTTTGGGCCTTTGCTGGCTCCTTTGGAAAACTTGCCCTTCTTGCCGGCGCCCTTGCTTGCCCAGTTCGCCTCTTCCAGCATCTTGGCACCCTTCTTGCCGCCGCTCTTGCCTTGTCCTTTGCCCTTGGCGCCCTTTGTCAAGTAAGTCGAGGTCGGCTTTGGCTGGCGTTGCTGTACCGAGCCCCAGCCGCGGTCCTTGGCTGCGGCTGCGACCGCCCGTCTTGCTTCCATCAGGTTGCGGTCGTTCTCCGCCATCATTGCCTCGATCTCCTGCCGCTGGCTCTCGTACTCCCGCTGGTCGTCCTTCAGGGCCGCGAACACCTCGTCGTCGTAGTCGGCCTCTGCGGGGTCTGGCTCTTCCTCCGCCCAGTTCGCGTTCCACTCCTGGCCGGGCTCGGTCTCACCAAAGTAGGTCCATTGAGCCTGGCCGCCGGGCGGGGACCACCAGTCATCGGTGCCGTCCGCGCCGCCGTCGTCCGGGTACGCGAGGTAGGCGGCATCCGTGTAGTAGGCGCCGTTGTCTCCGTAGTCCGCGTCCATCTCCGTGTGGTAGGCGCCCTTGCCCGCGCCGAACGCCCTTCCAGACTTGCCGCCGCGGTCCTCAAACATTGACAGCAGGGCTTGCCGGACCTCCTGGTAGCCCAGCCGGTTGCGCGCGGCGGCCTTTATCACCCGGCGCTCCTCGTCGGATGCCGTCGACATTTCCAGCACCATCCAGCCCCTAATGACGTCCAGGGCCGAAAGTGGCATCAGCCCTTTCTCCATCAATCTCTCCAGGAGATCTTTGCCTCGCGGCGGGGCTCCCTTCCACGAGCCCTTCTCACTGCCCTTGCCGAGCCTTGAGCTTCTCTGGGAAGATCGTGAGCTCGCCCTTGACCTCGCCTCGTCCTTCTCGTTCCTCCTCGGTGTCATTGGGCTCCGCCTCGAGGTCGGGGTCCGGCTCTGCATCGTCGCCCTCCGGGGGACCAAAGTAAACTGACTCGCCTTCCGCGATGCCACAGAAGCGCTTGAGCTCCTCCACGTTGGTCTCGTAGCCCTCGAAGACCAACTCTCTCTCACGAAGCAAGCGCTGAAGCGCCCGCAGCATATCATCATGCACCTTGTCCTCTCGCACCAGGAAGGCCGGGAGGGGCTCGTGGTGTCGGCGCACCAGCCGACGGTAGTATGCACCAATCTTCGTTCCTGCGTCAGGGAGCGGCTGCCTGTTCAGCGGGGACTCCTCCAAGTACTTCACTAACTTCTGCACGCTGCTCTCCGTCCTGTAGTCCTCTGGGTTCAGCTTGTACATCAGCTGCACCAGCGTGCTGTGTCCGCTTTGCAAAGCTTTCCTGATGATCCTCGCTGCCAGTAGTGGCCGCTCTTCCTTCTTGGTCGCATACATCGTCCACTTGACCTCGGTCACGAAGTGCGCAAACTTTCTCGGCCTTGCCGTCCCAGACGGGGACCGAGTTTCTCTCCTCCCACCGTGGTGGGACATCCGACGCCATCGTCGGATTCAGCGCGGCCAAAGGTCCGCTGATCAACCAAAGCTCCGGTGCCAATACAACTGAAGAAACATGAAGTCACTAAAGCCCGTCTCTTTTCGGCTACAAAGGGGCCCCCTGCGAGCATAGCGTCAGCGGTCGGGCGCAACAGTCACATGTCGATTTGACCTGCCGTTGCAATGACGACATGGCAAGATGCAGCTTCCCCAAACCCTCAAAGCTGAACCTTCACTGCGTCCCTAAGGATGCAACAACCTGTTTGGCTCATCAGCGACTGGTCTGAAATTGAATCATCCTTGAGAATAAGGGTGCTCTGGAGTGCTTGAATGTACTGTCGAGATCTGCGGATGGGAAAATGATTGCCAAGGCCGCTGCGCTTGGCATTCGTGTGTCGCTGCTGGAGGCTGGATGCGGCCACGATGCCAGAGGTCCCACCAGCCGGACACTGCAAGACGTTAATGCGGCTCAGGCACCAAGTACAAGAAGAGAACGCTCGCTAGCAGCATGGGGCGCCATCCCATCTGCTTGATGGCGCCAGCATCGCTCTCCAAACCCAGTCCGACCTGATATGCAGCTGCGCACACACAAGGCTGAGAGAGTTCGAGAGAGCGAGAGTCAGAAGAGAGAGCGAGAGCAGGAATACGCTAGAGAGAGCCGGAAGAGGCGCAGAGGGGGCGCCCGGGCCCAGCAAGGCGGAAGGCAAGCGGAAGGTCGGGCTGGACCTTTTGCCCTCGGCCAGGCGGCCATGGCCAGTGCAGTGCACCAGGAACCGACTTCGGTCGCTTTCGCGGCAAGCTCAGGAGGCAAAGGCAGATATGACGACATAACCTAAGCTGTGACTTCCGCTTCGCAGCTTGATGCCCAGATCTGCCCAGATCTGCCGAAATGCACAGACGCCAAAGAAGGCAAACGCGAACCAAGGAGTTTGAATGCTCGTGGATCCACCTTCAGCCAGCCTGAATCATTGCGGTCACATGAAGCATGTGGACAACCGCCCGCGATGCTCCGAAAACAAGCGTGAAGACTTCCTTGATAACGTCGGTCCTGCTGACAATAAAAAGGTAGGGAGCCAACAGCAGCACCCGCACCTGAGCATGACGCAGACTGTGCGGAATGAAGGAACAGCACAGCATGGCGTGATCGATTCAAGGGGCCAATTTGGTCAGCAAGGCCGCAGAGGCCACACCGGGCGACATCGCATGGCCAGCGGCCACAACCCCGGCGACCTCGTAGACGGTGGCACCTGCCAACACTCTTGCGACGAGAATCCGGGAAAATGAAGGAGCCCACTCCGGCCTGTGTAGATCCCCATAGCCTTTGCAGATAATGGTCCGGGAAGTATCGGCCACATGATCGGATACAGGAACATAGAGGTGATCCCAAATACCATAACAGTTGCCAAAGCAACTGAGACTTTTGAGCCGGACGCCCCTTCCTTCTCGACGACTGGCGCTGCCGCCATGACCGCCGAAACGCCACAAATCGATGCACCCGTGGCAACAAGCAAAGCCACAGATCTGTCCACCCGCAGCACTTCGCCAGCCATCACGCCCACAGCCTGACTCACGTTCTGAGAAAACTCCCGAAGAGGAACACGCTCTGACTTTTCAGACGCTTAAGACTGAGACACCCGCAAGCGTTGAGAAAACCATAGCCAGGGCTGAGCAAAAACTTCCCGGGCCCATTGTCAAGATCTGCTGCACCGACACATTGAAACCGTACCTCAGATCCTGATGTGCTTCGAGACATACGGAGTATTTGACATGAGTTGACACTTGCTCTGCTTGATTCTGCTTGCAGTGCCGCTTCAAGATGATTCCAAGGCGTAGCAATCGAGCTTTGGCAAAGGCCACGCCTCAAGCACGGGCCCGTCCGCTGGAGTCGAACTGTGGAACGGGCCCGTCAGGGTCATTTACTCAGCTTCCAATACCTTCATAGAATCCGTTTCTGTGGTCTGCTTTCGGACAGACAGAACAACTGATGCCGTGGCTGAGTAACCAACTTTTATCTCTGGCGACTTAACCAAGCCGACACTTAAACCGCTTAAGGTCTTGGGGGTGGCCTCCACAGCGAACCCCCGTCGATGAGTTAGTTGGGTTGGATGCAGCTGGGCTTAATTGGGCGGGCTTGGCCAGAAGGGCAGAATTCCGGCCTGGTTTCAGCATCGGCCGCACCTCTCGAGTCAAAGAGTTGCTCTTGGCGAGAACGGTATTTCCCAGCAGCAGTCCTTTCGCCGATTGGCCGGCCAAAGTGCCACAGCAAGTGCAACTGACCAGGCAACACTGCATGAAGAAAACTAGACTCGCTTTCCTGTCAAGGTGGCGTAAAGCAGTGGGCTGAAGGCACCACCGAAAAAATGCAACGATGCGACCCTTCTGGACACGGCCGCCATCGAAGCCTGGTACCAAGGCTGCTTCTGCTATCGTGAGAGAACTGCTCCCAGCTGTGGTGACACCTCCTTGATTATTGGGTTCCTGTATCCCAGCACAACGTGGTAGACAAGCTTCTACAAGCAGCAGAGGAGGAAAGGCTATCCAGGCGAACTCGCAAGTCGTGAACTTATGCACCAGACCCGGAAAGCCGAAGGGGCAAAGCCAAGAAAACGAAGCCGTGCAGATCACCGCAAAACAAGGTTCAGCCTGGAACCCAAAAGCCAAACCGCATGCCGCATGCACGTGCGAGAACGAACACGTATGTGTTGCAGCACGGCGAAAACTAAACCTGTACCCATAAATCTCCGCTCTGAAAAACTCCAGGCCACATAAATGCTTGGGTCATCTCGGGTCCCCCGACCACGGTCCCCGGAAGGTAACCCTGTCAAACGCTCCGTCGCCCCAGCTCCGCCCACTGCGTCCCCGTCTTCAAAAGCGTGTGGGAGTGACCCGACCAAACGACCAAACAGTCAAACTCCGGATGGGGGGCTTGGTATTGATGATGATGATGATGACCACGACGATGACGATGGTGATGATGATGATGATGATGATGATGATGATGACGATGGTGATGATGATGCCGATCTATCCAACCACCATAACAATGAGATCAATGTGCATCAATGTGCACCCGTTTTGGGATTCAACTGTCGGCAATGCAGCTACATACTATCGCTCGATGCAGCCATGTATCGACGAAAGCTGTCCCCGGAAGCCTTTCCCGAATGAAGTCAACCGTGCTTCGTCCCTGGCCTGCACGGAAGCACGGCACAAAGCAGAGGCTCTCGGCGGCACTCGCGGGCACCTGCCAAAGCCGTTCGTCCGCATCCTCCGCGTATTCCGCGTTCTGGTGCCCTCGCCTCAAGGCCGAGGCCTGGGCCGAGGCCTCGTGCTTTGGCCAGGCACAGGTTGACTGAAGGGCTCTTAGTACGAAACGCGAGCTGCTAAACACGCCGGGGACACCGAGGAAGTTGCACGGCCATGCCACCACAGACACAGTCAGCAGCAGCCCGCTTCTCCTCGGAGCCATGCAGCACGAAGGGTGCCGCGGGTTTGGCACACAGCGCCTCTACGATTCCTGTCTCCTGTCTTCTGTCGTGCCAATCGATAGCGGATGCCGTTGCACCGAAGCTCCAGGACTCCATGAATTTTGAGGTAGCATGCTGTCTGCGAAATCACGATGGCTGCGGCTGCGGACAGCGCTCTGAGCCAGTAGTTCAGCATCGTCCAGGCGAAAATGCGCTGCTTGAGACAGATGGCCGCGCTGCAGCAAAGCCTCTCGCTGCTCACCCACTACCCTCTTTTGTCAGAGATGGGTCATGGACGTGCTTCTCAGAAGCGTCTGCCCAGCATTGTTAGCTGTGAGGGGCACCTGTGCTGCATGTCTTGTAGGGTGCGACATCAGCCTGAAGTCGATTGCACTAGCAACAGGACCTTGTCTACTTCTGCAACGACACCAGAGGAGTCGTAGATGGAAGCCCGCATGTAGATAGGTTCCTGTCCGGTTCCGTCCGGCGAAGAGTAAGAAGAGATATACGGAGCCATTCCTCCCCATCCTCCCAATCGAGGGAGTCGGAAGATTTGGTGGGGACGTTTGGGCAGGGCTGTTGGTTGATGCGTCGCGTTGTACGCCAAACATGCCTATGTCAAAGCCATGAAACAACATCACCGTCGCCTTCCCATCCTGTGCTGCGACCTTGAGCCCGACCGCTTGACTCAGTTGCAGCCCCAACTGCAACACCTGCACAGGCGCGATCGAGAAGTACAGGACATCGCGAGATGGCTGATTCAAGGCCTCCAGTGCCCTCTCAGGCCCCGAACAGGATTGGCCGGACTCCTCCGTGCCTCACGAACTCGAAACACTAGCGTGCCAACTTTGTGACCAAGTGCATCGGGAAACATCCTGCCTCCACTCGTACGCCCCGCTGCCATAGCAAGAAAAGAAGTCAGGCCTTCGTAGATGCTGAACGATCCGTGTAGATATGCTTGGTGCAGAGAAGTCTGAGGCAGAGTCGCTGCCAGCGTTCGGCAGCACGCAGGCGATCCTCGCTCCACTCAGCACGGATCGAAGTGTGGAACGGTAGAGGCTGGCGAAGGCGCGCCTGCGCGGAGCCGCCCTGCGCTTGAGCCTTTCCGGAACTCGAACTCGACTAGATGCTCGCAGCCCTCAGCTCTCGTGCTCTGCACTCCTCGGCAAGAACTGGCCCAGCGAAGCCACGCAGGAAATGTTCCAAGCCACGGAGGTGGGCCTCGACACATCACCGAGTTTTGTCGTCCTGTGTGAAGGGCAAGCACAGCTGAGCTGGTGACAGGGTTGTAGTGCAACAGCCGGTAAATGCCGGACAATCGCCGCGTGGTCTCTGAACTGCGGACCTCTGCATGCAGCAAGCAGAGTAGCTTCCACGTCATTGTCTCTATGCTCACTAGATCATCCAGCATCAGATGCGAAAGGCTCGGACACAAGAGTCATGTAGGATCCTCGCCTTAAACCGGCATACTTCAATCAAACAGAGTGAAGTTCAAATCCAAGCCGAAATGCCGGCGCTACAAAAGCAATCAACGTCCTAAGACGGCGCCTGGATTGCGGCGGTGGCGAAATCCAGGCCGCGAAAGGCCGTCAGGAAGCCAGTGACCTCAGTGGATGTCACTGGCACGCTCCTGTGCGCTCCTACCCAGTCACCTTGCACGAGTCACTCCCGAGGAAGCGAAAGCATTCAAGGACCGGGCACCACCCATGGGCCGCAAGGCTTGCAGAAATTGCGCCTGGGACAATGTTAAATTTGCAGGGCGAAAGCATGCGGAAGCACCAGCAGCACACCTGCAACAATCAACAATCGCAGTTCAATCCTACTTGCCATACTCGGATGCTGCACCGCTGAACTCTTCCGAGAGATAGAAGCTATGTCTGCTGGCCGATGCGGACGGCTCTTCACATTTTCAGTTCAGCTACGACGAGAGAGATGGCATTGCGGAAACTGCAAGATGCGAGGCGACACCGACCAATGGAGCCCCTGGGATACATCTCTAACTCAAGGGTGCTGGCCTTTCCACACTCTTCACTAGATCTCTGCAACAATTTCTGCAACAAAGCTTCTGTCCCGGAAGTCCGGAACAATGACTCGAGTCGGACATGGACCGGTTGTACTGCGAGCACTTCAGGGCTCGCTCTAGAATGCCACATGTCTGACATTGTTGTACCTCGCTATGGTAGCCCTGTCGAACAGGCGCCAGCAATTAGCGAGAAATAATGCAGTCACTGAGGGCAAAACGAGGCGAGCTGGCGTCAATTCAGGCTCCTTCCTTTCGTGGCGTCCGCCGAGACAGAATCACAGTGCACACAAGATCACACAAGTAATGTTCACCTCTGGGGCTGCTACGCAGGATTCTTGCTGCCTTGATTGATGGTGGCCTTGAGCCTCAGGCTAGTCAGAAATTCGCAACTTCAGTACGGTCCCAGCAGAGCTACGGGAACCCGAACGCGCTCGACAGGAGGATGTTGCACGACTGCTCAGCTAGCTGGACGTTCTGCAACAAGAACAGCAGGTGTCTTCCCGGTCTTACTGAAGCAGCATGAGTGTGTACAGCAACAGGGAATCGCGTGGAAAAATCAAGAACCAACAAAGATGTGTCGCAGCCCTCAGGGCAAACTCGCTGACTTACACCCGCCAGTGGCACTGTGTAAACAGCATCTCAGCCACACAGCCACAGACTAGGACACAAGCACACACTACGAGTAGCAGGCACTGAGATTCCAGCAGAGTGCCGTTCTCTTCAATCGCAGAAAGTAGCCAAGCCACTTGATCCGCGAGCACCTGCTCTGTTCATTTCCGGGCTCCAAAACGTGCCACTTCAGCTGTAAACAGCAGAAAAGATTTCGCAGGCGAGGCATTCTTCCAACTGGAAACAGCTGAAGGACCATGTAAGGCCACGATTAGAAAGCACAAGAACTGTCAGCGAAACTGGACATCTACTGTGTAAATCAGGTACGCTACGAGTACGTTGTAAAAATTTGGGAACCCCGTGATTTCGGCTATATGCCACCTACTTGTAGCACAACAACGAAGGGGGCTCCGATTGAGCCTTAGGATCGGGAGAAGGATGTTCCAAGGATTCTCATGCACGGAGTGGGTAGGAATCTGTGACCCGTACTGAATCAAAGAGACTGACCCAATGCAAGGACGATTAGAGAAGCAGCGACCCTGTTCCCCGACAAGGGTACATTCTGCGCGTGTCCGCTTTGCCGGGCACTTGCCCAGACAGGGCGTTAACGAACCGAACAAGCAACCGCGATCGTCGCCTACGAGCTGCCGGAGTCTTGGGCCGAGTTCTGGTGCACCCATTCAGAATCAATGATTGGAATCTCGCTCGCCAACACAAACAGCCAGAACCTACTCGAACGTGAGACGGAACTTTCAACACGTCATAAGAACCGATGCAACTTTGTTGAAAGCAGGTGTTCGGCTCGAAAAACGACAAAAGCGGCCCCCAGGAAGTTGCAACGGCATGTTGAAGTTCAAGTTGCCCACGAGCTGCGCCTTGAATTGCCATGACTCCTTTTGCCTGTTGGCCAATGCTACTGCCAATGCTCCTTCATCGATGCATCGTTTTGAGGCTGCCTGCTGCCTGCTGCTGCCTGGCTTTTGGCTGCACCAAGGAGAAGCCTAAAGCCCAAGCCTGGCCAAGAGCAAGCGCGGGGCGCAACACAGACGGAGGCTTTTTCTCAAGCGCGGTCCGCGGTGTTTTACAGGCTTCTTCGTGCGAGTGCGAGCGGGGTCGCTCTGTATGTCACTAAGCCGTCCATGTTGAAGGAGCCGACAGTTGGTTCTCGTGGGCCGCCTCGCTTCCCTGTCGGTGCAGCTATGTCGCTACCTCAGCTATTGGGCAGCGATGGCAGCGACTCTGCCGGCCTTTTTCGGCGGCTCCTCGCGGCGCAAGCGCGACTACCGAGTGAGCACGAAGCCAGCCCGCAGTAGTGATCGCTCGGTTTCAAGGCTCTTCAAGGCTTGGCTTTAGCTAGCTGCATCGCGTGCCCCATTGGAGGACTTAAACCGACACTCCGGTGCGAGCGTTGCAGTCGATGCCAGCGAAGGTGAAAGCTTCAGCTGACGGAGGTTCCTGAGGCAGTTGAGCTGCTCGCGCAGCAGCTGTCGCATCCAGCGAGTGTACCACCGAGCTGTAGCGCTCCGGCCGGTCGTGTTGATGCTGCAAGGTCCACGGGGTGGTGTACTGACTGTGTGTGTGTGTGTGTGTGTGTGTGTGTGTGTGTGTGTGTGTGTGTCTGAGTGTGTGTGTGTGTGTCTGTGTGTGT